CTGTTGATGTTGTAGTGTCTATCTTGTATCAAACTATTATTACTTTGTGTTTAATTTTTTTTATAACATGCAAATTTAACAAAACGAAACACGACATATTATGTTTAATTGTGTTTAATATTCATTTGCTTAAATCTGTGTGAATTATTTTATTTGTGAATAACAATATCTAAAATGAAAATATCTACTATAGATAATATTGTATGGTTTGATTTTCGTTTTTTTATTCGAATAGATTTTAGATGAATATTGTTTTTTGTTAGATGTAATATTGAATTTGGGCACTTAGATTAAACATTTTTCTAATTTACGTAAATTATAAAAATATTTACATTAATATTCTATCATTTTCTTATATTTGCTTAAAGTATTATATAATATATTAGAATGTCAATTAATTAATTGTATAAAATTCGCCTTAAAAAAATAATAAAAATTAATTGTATAAAATCAAATACAAAAAATATATATATGGAAAAAGTCGCGACATAAATTTGACCAAATGATAATAGTATTGTTAAACAAGTACATGAATCATGATACAATGTGCATATAACTTTAAAAATATTATTTTAGATACAATTAAAATGTAGATATTTATTTCAATATAAAAAGAAAAATTGATTTCTAACATCATCGGATTGCCTTATGAATATTTATAATTATTTAAATCCATAATTACCATAGAAGAAAACATTTAAAAAAAAATTATTTGTTGATAAGAGAAGAATGGAAAAAGGTTCTAAATGTAAATTGAACGTAAACGAATTCAATATATAATGTAAGCTAAACGTATGTTATTCAATATTAACGTGAGCTAGATTTAGGTTGTTAGGGTTTCAAGAATAATAAATTGGTTTTTGGATTATCAATATTCTAATTAATAATAGTCATAGGAAAATATTTTCATGTAGACATTTAATATTTTTGTGTATAGAATTAATAGGAATAATAATGAGCTAAGTAATTATGATTAGTGGGCTTAATTAGAGAGTCCAATTG